GATTGAATCATATAGAAGAATATGTTCCCAAATCTCCAGAATATCATCCAGTTTCACCATCTGCTCAGTTAAATACCAAGTAGATGTTTATTTAAGTAATTCACAACGTATCAATTCAACCAATTTCTTATCAAACTATTTCAATTGTTTCTCAATTTCATTGTTCATTTCAACAAGACTATTTATAATAACCGAATCGAAAATGAAAATGATAGCAAATTCTATCCGGTCAACACTTACCTTCAATTAAATCCACAAATCGATCCAAACAAATTTTTTAAAAAATCAAACGAATTTGGAAAAATTTATATGACGACTAGATATCAATATCTATTTAACCGAGGCCGATGTTGAAATTGTAAGCGAGCGTTTTCTCATGAATACTGTATGGCATGTAAAAAATTGAAATATACATTTACAGGATATTGTGATTGTAAATATATATATGGTTTTACATATCTGACGAATCAACCAAACCAGTTTGGAAAATGTAAATGGACCACAAACAATCCGAATTCTTTAACTCATGAATGTAAAAGGATGGTTCAGAATGATAGTTTTATAGCATATATTAACGAGCATCAAACCTCTAGATTCAATTTTAACGATAAACAATATTCATATTAAAATATTTTATATTTTTATTTCTATATTCTAAATTTTATTAATAAATATCAACTAATCAGTTTCTTAACCGATTAGTTTTTTATTTGGTTAAAAATGAATTTAAATATGGAAGTGAATGTGTCCGAATATACGAGAGATTATTTCGATCTACAATCAGAACTATATTCTAAAACAATCAATTATCCCAAAGTTCAAGAATTTTTTAACAAATATAATTGGTCTTTTCAAACTTCAGTCACAAAAGATCTCTTCTATTATTATTTCTATACTAACAATGTTATCAATTCCGAATCGAGTTATCAAAAGTTGTATCAAGTAGCCTCTTTATTTAAAATCTATATTGATAACAAAACATATCATATTGATAGTTTACCTTCTATTCCAGAAGAAATTTAATAAACACATCTAATCAGTCAATTTGACCGATTAGATTTTTTTCGATTCATGAACAATGTTAAAAATAATTCCTAAAACCAAGATCAACATTGCGATTGATGGGTATGTAGCGTCAGAGAAAACAACGATTGGGAAAGAAATTGCTTCTCAACTCAATTACCAGTTTATCGATTCTGGATTATTCTACTAATATATCGGATATTATTATTACGAAAACACTTCTTTGGAAGAAGTTTTCAAGTTTATTGATGAACATGTGCAAAACAATTAACTTCTAATCGAATTGGATTTGGTAAACTATCTTTTCTACGATAAATATATTGAATCAGGAGAACTTGCTTCTAAAGCATCTCAAAATGACAAATTACGTGAATTCATTAATTATACTATTCGTAAATTAACTGAACAAAAAGGATTTGTTGTTGTTGGACATGATGTCACCACTAATATCTTACCTAATGCTGAGGTTAAGATTATGTTTACAGCAGATTTTGAAGTCCGTACTTTAAGAAGAGCGAAAGAATATAATAGTGAAGATTACACAAAAATTTTTTTTGATATCTTTTCTCGAGATTTATTATCATATCCTTTATTAAAACAAGCTGAGAAGGTATCAAATCAAATCGATACTACACAATTAGATATTTCTCAGGTGGTTGATAAAGTTTTATCAATAGTGTTTCAGAAAATATTTAGGATTAAATATGAACGTTATTTCAGATTTTTCTTTATTTTGATTGTTTTATTAATAATAAAAATAACAAATCTTAATCTAGTTAGTCTTTGGACCAATTAGATTTTTTTGTATGTAAATTGTAAATCTTAAACATGTCAGACACTCAAAAACCCATTCAATTTACAGAATCTGAACTAGATGCTTTGGTCGAAAAAAAAGGTTACAAAATAGCCAACGAGATCGAGGATGAAACTTTAGATGAGTTAAACGAAGAAATTAATATTATTGATGAACTAGAATCTGTCTACAAGTCAAAATTATTTCTATTGAAGAGTTTAGAGAAACAAATCAAACTGCGATTCTCAAACAAATATGAAGCGTTTGTGAAGAATATGACTGGGGTTAAGACTGGAGCTAGTTTTCAATATCGTAGAATTTACGATAAATTAAATGAAGTAAATACCAAGAATGCCTTTACTCAAGAAGAAATTGAAAAGTTCCTCGATATGAAGAATTACGAGGTTGTGACAGAAATTGATAAGAAAGCTTATGAGAAGGCTATTAGCAATAAAACATCACGAAAAATTTTCTTGAGTAAATACTTGAAGTTATGTAATCGTTATGATCAAAAGTTAAAAAAACTGAAAAAAGATTGCCAAACAGCAGGAATCATCCATATTGGCCGAAAGTAAAGGATATTAAAGATAACATTGCGGGAGTTAAAACAGCTTACAGTTTCGCACCCAAAAATATTCAAAAGGTGCTTGACGAACTTGAGAATTAATTAATTTTATTTATTTTATTTTTTTTTGTTTTTATTATTATTTGTTATTTTTATTTTCTATTCAGTCTTTGACCGAATAGAATTTTTTATGTGTAAAAATGAATATTACAAACAATCTACATTTGCTTCAAGAGCATAGTGAATGTTTTAATTTTAATGTAGAGAAACGAATTTTCAATAATTATACTATACTTGTCAGATATAGTAAACGAATTCGTCAATTACTGAAACATGATTATCGAAACATACCTTATCATAAACCATTTAACAAAAGACGATTCAATAACTTAAAAGAAAAAAGCAAAACTTATTACTGTAAGAGGTGTAATGATATACTTACCATCGAAAATTTCTGTTATAAATGTGAGTCGGAAGATCTGGACAATTCAGAATCGATTCACACGAACTCTCCAAAATCGGACAATGAAGGTTCGAATTATATTACTGACGATGGGTTTGTTATTAAGGATGATATAAACACATCATATATTCAACAGTGTTTTGTTAAAAATGATTCTGTATTTTTTTTCCGATAATGAGCTGGTGATGAATGATTCTTCTTTTTCTTCTCAAAGTTTACAATGTAATTCTATTTAATCAGTTTAATAAACCGATTAATTTTTTTTCTGCGTAAATTTTTTTTTAAAAAAAATGGCAGTTTACCAGAAATATCAAAACGTGTACAAAAACTACCAATCGATTTTAAATTTAAACAGCGAATATTATTCATTTTTAAATAGCTTTACCAAAGCAAAAAATTACGGTATTTCAATCGATTTAGATAAAGCCACAAACCAAATCGAGTCTGCGCTCGATGTGAACACAAATCTTCTTATTCAACATAAGAAAATTATGGATGAAATTGAATCAACCCGAAAGGAATTTTCTCTTTGCATCTTGGTGAATCCTGCTCCAAACAACACTATTTGGTTAAATCGTCGCAACAATCCTGAGAAACATTACTACAATTTGTATCAGTTGGTTGGTGGGTTGGTCGAACCCAATGAGACATTTGAATTATGCGCTTTTAGAGAAGTTCATGAAGAAGCTGGGATTAACATCAAGGAATTGAATTATATCTGTCAATACAAAGGATTTTGTGTTTTTTCCGGCAATACCGAAGAATCTCTATATAAAACTCTTGTCTATTTCTCGATTCTCGAACCTAACCAACTCCCGATTCAAACTGAACCGACTAAAAGTGATGAATGGATTCAATATACTTTAACTGAGTTTGAAAAAAGTCAATACATGTTAACACCAACATTGGAAGTTAAAAAGAAGAAGATTGTTGAAACGATTAAAACTAAACTAACTCAACATAACAGGAAGAGAAAACGTGTTAACAAGGAGGAAAAAGAAGAAAAGGAGGAGGTAAATGGTGTCAATTGGGAATTGAACGGAGTCAATTTAGAAGTAAATGGAGTTTCGTCAGCCTCGAGTCCTGCATAGTTTTGGTTTTATTTTTATTATATATTTTTGTTGTCTTTTTTTTTTTTATTAAAAATAAATACTCTGTTTAGTACTTTACCGAACAGATTTTTAACTACGTAATCTAAAATAGCAGAAAAAAAGGTGAATTATTTCACTTAATATTCATATTTGTATACGCTGCTCTTCAGGTATTAGGAATTTATTCTGGAAAGAGAATTTTTTTATTTTTTCTCGAGGATAAATTCATTTTTTACCAGGAATGCGAACGTATAAGACGCCGCTACCCACGGAGTGAAAAATATGTTTTATTAATTATTTTTTTTTTTTTAGATATCTAATTGGTCGAAAGGACATGCTTTTGAAGCCACTCTTCGTAAACTATTTAATGAAAATGGAATAATTGCCCATATAATTTAGGTTACAGAAGGAGATGGTGGATTTGATTTATTACTTTCGTATCATGGAAATCAGATTTGTGTATAGGTTAAAGATATAGAAAAATCTATACTATTATCAATGATCAAGAATTTTGAAGCTACGATGAATAATTTTAAAGGTTCATTAGGAATTTTAGTTTATAATAGTAAGACTATGAAGACAGGGAATTTTTTAACAAAACAAGCTAAACTTTGGTTGGAAAATACATCTCAACAGATAATCGTTTGTAATGAAGAAGAGGTTATCAATGAAATCAAGAATTTTTTCAAAAATGATGAAGAACCAACAGAATTACTATTAACCGATTTTAAAGCTGAATCTTTTACTTTAATAGGAATTGTTAGTCAGAATGTACATATCAGAAAAATAACAATTAAAAAAATACTTACAAATTCTCTCCATATTAAATTTATCTATCTATTCAGTCATTTGACCGAGTAGATTTTTTTCTACGTAAACTTAAAATGTCATCAAACTGGCAATCAAAATTTAAAATTTTTAAACCAGCTTTAATTTGGGAGCAAGCAAAAAACCCCTCAAAACCAAAACACAAGCTAAACAAATATCGAACTGTCAACATAAATGACAAGCTTTATTATGAAGTCTCAACACAGAAACCAGGAATTACTTTTTTGATCGATATCAAGAACTTTAATTTACTTCAAAATTATACCTGGTTTTATAATAAAAAGAAAAATGCAAATACATATTATATTCGAACACATGCTATTACAAATTATAATATTATTTTACAACTTTATCGATTGATTCGTCCTGAATAGAAGATGATTGATCATATTAATCGTGAAGGTTGTGATAATCGAGAATGCAATCTTCGAGAAACAACACCGAAAAAAAATCAATTTAATCGTAAATTACAAAAAAATAATTCATCAGGCTATAATGGAATTATTTTTAATAAAACACTTAAAGCTTGGCAATTCCATTGGGTTGAAATAACAAACGTAAAATTAAACAGTTTCGTATTACAAAGAACAGAACTTATGAACAAGCAAAACAATTAGCAATAAACTTTAAAATAGCTCATGATAAATTAACTAGCAATCAAAATAGATATCCTGTAACTTATCAATAAACATCTACTCAGTCGTTCAGACTGAGTAGATCTTAATTTAGTCAATTTATTTAACAATATTAAAATTCGTTATTAATAAAATCTTTGAATTAAAATGGCAAAACCCATTTATTTTTCTTATCTTTACTGTTTTTATTTATCTTCTTATTATTTCTTTTATTTTTATTTATACCAATTTGAACAAGAAACCTAAAATCATCGTTTTCACGGAAACGATCGGTACTAGAAAAACTACATGTGCAAAAATGTTTCAAATGTATCTTGAGTCGAAAGGATTTTCTGTTATTCATAGGATCGAAGCAAGTCTCGAAATTCCTGAAGAATTAACATTATTTTATCAAATCAAAAATACACTTTTTATTCAAAAAGAAATTTTTAATCTGTACAAGAAACGAAAGAACAGTTTATTACTGAGAGTTGATTTTCTGATTGAAGACAGGACCGTTAGAAATATCAAGATTTTTAATATCAACATAGAAAATAAATTAGAAAAGAAATATATTGATAATTTGATTGATGAGGAAATTTTCAAGGATAAAGTAAAATTTGATAAAGTGGTCTACATTAAACCTTCGTTTCTGACTACAATCAATCACAAAAAAAAACGTGCAAGACCAGATGAAACTTGCAAAAATGACTACCTGAAAAATATTTATATGGAATATGAATCAAGAGTCGATGAAATTTATCTTGATCATATTGTGTTTGATAATATTATTTCTTTATGTGAGAATTGTCAGCGGCTTCAATCTTGTCAGAAAAAATGTA